TCCCTACATCTTGATTCTATCCATTTTTTAAACGAAAATGTTGATATGACCATTAAATTGTTAATTATCTATGATATTTGACCGTTAAAGATTGTTAAGTTAATGAGTTTCTGAAGATTTCTATAGATTTTTCTTTAAAAAAGGTACAATAAAATAAATGACCTGAACGCATTTAGATTTAAAAATGTTATATATGTATAAAGCATAAACATATTTTATATTGAGCACTTCTAGCTAGGTAAAATATTAAGAAAAAAAAAATTCATTACATTATACAGATTTACTTCTCATTTTTCCCTCTTTATTGCCTCTAATCAACTAATGTTTTGAGAATTGGTGATTAAACTAACATTTTTAGAGAAGAAGGTATTTAATAAACCTCAAATATCATAGATTATTAGCAATTTAGTGATTATATCAACATTTCCATTTAAAAAATTGATAGAATCAAGATGGAGGGAAAAAAGTTGGAGACATATCATAGTTCGGGGAGCAAAACAGGTACATTTTAAAGTTCAGGAGGCATATTGACACAAATGACAAAGTTCAAGGGGCATTTATAAGCACTTCCGTTAAAAAACTTAACGGAGTTAACCTCAGGGGGCATGTTGACACAAGTGACAAAGTTCAGGGGGCACAACATACATATTTTAAAGTTCAGGGGGCATATGACACAAGTGACAAAGTTCATGATGAATATATAAAATTTGTCCTTTATTAAAATAATTAAAAAAAAAAGGTTACGGGGAATTCCGAGGGATGTTGTTCTAAATTTCACATGTTGACTGCTTAAATTACGAAATTAGTAATATTCTAACATGGTATTAGAGTAACAGGTTCTAACATGTGAATTAAAAATCAATTATCTCTTTGTCAAATTAATTTGGAAAATTAGTTTCCTACAATATAGAATAACGACCATACATTATGAAATCAAATGAGCTCATTTATTTATAATCTCAATCGTAATAGATTTTTACCCTACATTGTATGCAGTTTTCTAATTGAAACACATAATTAAACCATATATAGATTTTCTTAATTAATGCTGCTGACTATATATATATATATATATATATGTATATTGTCGTACTTGTAACATGTACAGGGGGTGTTACATCTATGCCTGATTTCTTGAAAAAGTTCTTTCCGGTGGTGTACAAGAGGACTCAGGAAAAAGGCCTGGATAGCAACTACTGCAAATACGACAACCAAGGGCTACAACTCTTCACGTCGTCGCTGTACCTGGCCGCTCTTATTGCGACGTTCGGAGCATCCTACACAACCAGAAAGCTGGGACGGAAGCCAACCATGTTCATTGCTGGGATTTTCTTCATAGTTGGTACTATTCTTAATGCTGCAGCCATGAACTTCCTTATGCTTGTTCTTGGAAGGCTCTTGCTTGGTTGTGGAGTTGGTTTTGCTAACCAGGTAATTAAGTAGACATTTGGTTCACAGATTCAGAACCATGATTTAGTTTACGTGTGTTTTTTTGAGAGAAAATACTATAGCGAGCTATAAACTATGATTCGAATTATGTCACGAATCCTCATACCAAACGTACTACCTAAATAATTTTATACTATATATACAAATTAATTAAATTAACCTTGTAATAATGCCTCTTAATTTTTCTTTCCAAGGGTATAAAAGAAGTGTTAGAGATCCTTCTAAATAAAACATATTAAACAAGGCTTAAAAATAATTTTGCAATATATATTCTCTTTACGTTGTTTCCTTTCGTAATATGGTCACGTAATTGTTGTATACATATATACGTATAATACAGGCCGTGCCATTGTTCCTATCGGAGATCGCACCAACAAGGATACGTGGAGCACTTAACATCCTATTCCAACTCAATGTCACCATTGGCATTCTCTTTGCAAACCTCATCAATTATGGCACTGCTAAGTAAGTACCTGCATCTTGATGTCACATCAAAATAACATTTGGATCGTATATATATATATATATATATATATATATAATATACACACACGTACGGTTTCCATATATTTGAGCATATTAAGAAAATAAAAAGAAGAAAGAAACATCTAGAGTTTTTTTTAAGAAAATATGGAATAATAGGTTTGTTTGATAAGTAGGAAAGGAAAGAGAGAAAGAAAGAGACAATTGAGGATGTTAAAGGATCCATAAGTTCCTAACTTTTAATCCTAATCCATTCCAAGGTAGATGGATTTATAAAAAGAAAAAGGATTTAATTTATAAATGCTTCTAAACTATGTACTACATACAAATTTTATTACTATTTACATAAAGAGTCAAAATTATTAAATCTAGTCAAAATCACATCAGATTTAAAAAAAAAATGTAGATTTTGATACAGATCTGACGGTTAAAAAATAAGGGATTATCATTAGTTCATTTCTGCAGAAACTATCAGAGAAAGTACTCAAAACTAATAATAACATATTGATATTGTTATCAATTGACACACACACACATATATATATATATATATATATATGTTTTTATGTATATAAATAATTTGTTAATCAATGTGAGATTAATATTAATGAATGAACAGAATTGAAGGAGGATGGGGTTGGAGGCTGTCATTGGGTTTGGCAGGAGTTCCGGCAGTGATGCTGACAGTTGGGTCCATTTTGGTGGTAGACACTCCCAATAGTTTGATCGAACGAGGTCGTTTAGAGGAAGGAAAAGCCGTTCTCAGAAAGATAAGAGGCACTGACAATATTGAACCTGAGTTTTTTGACATTGTGGAAGCCAGTCGCATTTCTAAGGAAGTCAAACACCCTTTCAGGTCCCTCCTCAAGCGCAGGAATCGCCCTCAACTCATCATCGCAATTTTCATGCAGGTGATCCATCGTCAATATAAGAAATTTTAATTTATACACATCTTATCATGATCACAGCATATATAAATATAATTTCTTAGGGTATACCTTTTTTCATTATACACTTTCCCAGGGCCTAATACGTATGGGGAAGCGATAAGAATATAGTTTTCCTCTTAGAATATGTGCATAGAACATTCGATACTCGGTGACCTCAATTAGAGGTCCTACTTAGTTAATGAACCATGTATAGTGTTGGATCGAACTATACCCATCTTTTAAGTAAAATTAGATTATGACATTTTCATTTTATTAGTGGACACGTGGTTTCTTTAATAGATGATAAAGAAGAGGGCGGGATAAGATCAATAATTTTTTTCCTTTTTTAGTCAGAAAAAAACCCATAAATAAAATGCTTTTTACTTTTTTCCTTTTTTTGGTAAAGCAAAAAATATCCTTAATTTTCTAACACAAAAAAAAGTCAATTTCATGTACGGACTATAAACGGTCTATATAGTACTATATATATATATATATATATATTACATGACAATGAAAGTATTTCTAAATCAATGGTATGTCTCAACAACATCAGCAATTTTGAAAAAAAAAAAAAAGAAGCAATAATAAATTTATATAGTAGTACATATCTAATGTTTTTATTTCATATATAGTAAATGAAAGTGCACATTATAGATTATTACAACACATTCACAATATATATTTTATTTTATGGATCTACTCATCAACCGACTATATATTGCTAAAAGATACATTGTAAAATAATCTCAATAAATATTATGTTCAATACTCCACGTACAGGTGTTCCAACAATGCACAGGAATAAACTCCATAATGTTCTACGCGCCAGTCCTCTTCAGCACCCTAGGGTTCGGCGGCGACGCCTCCCTCTACTCCGCTGTCATCACCGGAGCCGTCAACGTCCTCTCCACCGTCGTCTCGATCTACTCCGTCGACAAGATAGGCCGGCGCGCCCTCCTCTTGGAGGCGGGCGTCCAGATGTTCGTGTCCCAAACAGTGATCGCCGTCGTCCTCGGCCTCAAGCTCCGCGACAACAGCGACGACATGAGCCGCGGCCTCGCGGTGCTCGTGGTCATCATGGTCTGCACCTTTGTGTCGTCGTTCGCCTGGTCGTGGGGCCCGCTGGGGTGGCTCGTGCCATCGGAGATCTTCCCCTTGGAGACCCGGTCGGCCGGGCAAAGCGTCACGGTCTGTGTGAACATGCTCTTCACCTTCATCATAGCGCAGGCTTTTCTGTCGATGCTTTGCCACTTCAAGTTCGGGATCTTCCTCTTCTTCTCCGGTTGGGTTCTCGTCATGTCGCTCTTCGTCATGTTCTTGTTGCCGGAGACGAAAAACGTGCCGATTGAGGAGATGACGGAGAGAGTCTGGAAGCAGCACTGGTTCTGGAAGAGATATATGGATGATAATGACGATGATGCTTAATTTACTTAATTGAGTAGATTATTTGTATACTCTTTTGTGATTATTGAGTACTAATGGTCGTTTTAATTTGTATTTCTTTTGACGATTCATTCTTTCCCAAAAGATCATTTACACGCTACTTGCATAGTTATGTTTTAACATTTTTATTTTGTACACCTTGCTGAGTTATGACAAGGTTCTGATCACATTCATTCAAATTCAAGTTCCAAACAAAGGAAAACAAATGACTATATACTATATGTTGGCCTATATAAAAAAGGATTGCTAATGTTAATTTTGGACCCCGAAGTATCCTTCTTGTCCTATTTTGATTCCCATATTTTAAATAAACTTTACAAATTGCACCCTAAACTATACTTCTCATCCTTTATTTGGCCCTTTTAATCACAAAAGTCATTAAAAACTGAACGGAATCAACCACCATGACCCTCATATTATTGGATAAGGAGGTAAATTTTGGAAAAAATAATTACGCCTATAATATTATAGATTTAAAGGAATATATAATAATATTTTATATATTTTTTTATAATAAATTTTAAGCTTTAAAACGTATAAAAGGAAAACTATGGTCGTGTTTGGAATTGATCGGGTTTTATTTTTCATGTTTTTTGAGCAAGAAAAAATGAAAACGTTTTCAAAACGGCGTTTGGCTCAATAAAGATAAAAACGGAAATGATATATAATAATATTTTATATATATTTTTTAATAAATTTTAAGCTTTAAAACGTATAAAAGGAAAACTATGGTCGTGTTTGGAATTGATCCGGTTTTTATTTTTCATGGTTTTTGAGAAAGAAAAAATGAAACGTTTTCAAAACGGCGTTTGGCTCAATAAAGATAAAAACGGAAATGAAAATGATTTTTTGGTTTAATGTAAAATGAGAGATAAATAAAAAATGACTTTTAATCGTTTTTCATTTTTTGTTTTTGTTTTCTCCTCTCTCGAGCATAGAGACAGAAAGAAAGACATTAATGAGTTTTTTTTTTTTACACTAAAAACAATCTCTTGATAAAACTACAAAACACATTTTCAAAAATGATTTATGTCTGAGATTGAAAACGTTTTCATTTTCATTTTCATACAAAAAAATAAAATCATTTTAGAACGAGTTCTAAAAGTGCCCTATAATTTTAAGCAATGGAGAAATAATAATATTATAATTAATCAATTGTTGCTAAAATTAGCATATATTTTATTTTATTTTAGGCTCTAATGTTTCATGATATGTTTTAAAACATATTATATCCATATTTTGTCATAATTAAAATTTTACGCTTTGGAAATTTTTAAAAATGTTTTAAATCTTAAATAATGTAAAAATATTAATGTAATTATTAAGTGAAAAAGTCTAAGAGAATCAAATACTAAAATTTAGTGTGTGTTAAAATATCTCCAATACAATGCTAAATTATGTACCAATGTCAAATTTTGACACTTGAGGTACGTAAGAAAATAACTCTTAAATTTGACATATGTTATTGGTGTCAAAATTGACACCAAGTATAGTGCTTGATGACAACTTCGAAGTTGAGTGTACCATTATATTGGAATTGATTTCCTATACCCGAGTAGTAAATTATGACATTAGAAATTTGGCATTGCATTTCAGATGTTTCTCCTGCCATGTCAGCATTTAATAAAGCAAACGACACTGCATGATCAAAACGACAATCAAACTTAACACAATATAGTTTTAATATGACATTTAGAGGATGTTTGGTAGAGGAATTCATTCTCTGATTCGAATCATGATTCATGGTTCGCTACAGTATTTTGTCTCACAAAAAATTCACGTAAATCGAAAATGGTTCAAATCACATGGTTTGAATCCTCCAACCAAACGTAACACAGATATAATATCAGTTTCTTAATTAGAGAGCAAAATAACAAGTGGTACTGCTCATGCCTCTTGATGATCTATTTATTTATTATTTTTTTTCTCTTTGCAATATTATTTGTATCACTTGTCAGGGCACTATGAAAGTGCAAGTGTTAGTTGAATATTTTTGGTCTTTCCACACTCTCTCCCCTCCATCATAACGATAACGACTAAAACTGTATCAACCATATATTTCAAACAATAACGACCTAATTGATGAGTTGATGATTGCTATTCCTATTCCTCTAGGGTCAATGCAAAAGGTGCTTTAAATCATGTCTTTGGTACTCAAAATTTCTGGAGAAAAAATGGTGTCCGGACTTTAAACACTTTAATACTTTCGTGGCCATATGTTCCCTCTCTGGAGCATTATAAGGAAAGTTTGGATTTTCTTTTTTTTTTAAAAGGAAAATTGCATTTAATTAAAACCTAATAAACAGTCATCTTAGTACAATACTAATAATCTGTTAGAGGGACGGACGCACGTCTGAGACTAGAAAATATGAGAACATCTTGGCACACTAACAAAGAGCTTACAAAAATCTCAAATTGAAGAAACCCCTCGCATCAAAATAGGCTTTCGAGCACACGTAAAGGTTTTTCTTTTTTAGGTATTGCTATTTGTGGTTGAAATTTCTTCCTCCCAAAACCCCACTTTTTCTTTTTCTTTTTTTATTATTATTGCGTTTCTTCAAAGCAATTATATATTATTAGGCAAATTTTGCTTTTTAAGTATGGCCATATGGGGTTGAAGCGGTAAACCGATCATGTACTAGAGCTATTTCACATTTAAAGAGAGAAAAAAGAAAACGTAACACTAAAGTGCTAAAATTCATGCTTTTTAGTGCTAACATTCATGCTTTTTATTTCGGTTTTTCTCATTTCTTGTGTTCAATGTGGAAGCACCAATTTGAAGCAGTGTATGGTACGTAAAATACCCGCAACACCAGCCTGTAGTCCTACTACATGTTTATGGAATCCAAAGTTTGACATACATGATACATTCACACAAACATGTACATATATATACTCAAATACATATATATATATATATATATATATTCCACATCTATGATAGGACATAAAACAAATGAAATAACCGTAGATTTTGTTTCAAGTCAATCCTTTATTAAAAACTGTCTATTATGTATTAAAAATTATCTATTCTGCGTACATTCTCATTTTAATTTTATTTTGACTAAATCCAATAGTAAAAAATGTACATAGAAAGCCCTACAGTCGTACAATGATTCTAAGGAAAAATATATATTTTACTATATTAATATATACTATAATATAATATTGCTTTGTATTAACCAATTAATACCAAACTCCTGCAGATTAGCAGGATATATCGGCGGTTGGCATATGAGCATTAATAATAATGATAATAATAATTTATGTTAGTTTTCAATTGAATTAATTATATGCCTCTCCCCAGGGTAATAAACGTACAAGAATGAAAGTTAAATTCATGTCTTGGAAAGTTCCAAGTTCCAACCTTTCGGCTGCACCGCAGAATTTGATATTCTTATCCAAACACTACTATATAAGATAAGATGATAGCATTAATTAGGTCCCAAAATTATTTTTTTGATACAAATTAATGTTACAAAATTATTTATTCCCACATATGTATGTGTGTGTTCATATTATCTTCATATGTCGTCAGCAAATGCTTTTGATTTTGGCATTTATTTAATTTTTAGTTTTCTTATATTTGATATTGAATTTTTAGATTGTCAATTTTGGTGGTCTTCCATATCGCCCACACAATATTCCTCTTGCATATTTGGCGGCCACATCTTCTGATCCTAGGTCATTAATAGACGTCATCCTTTAGAAATCCAATTGGGATAAAAACCGATCACAAGTGGAAGATTGCGCCATCTAGAAAAGCACAAATAACAGATTATATAAAAAAGCTGAAGTCATTTTTTCCCCAACTTTTTGGTAATATTGGAATCTTAGGTGTGTGGTTCATAGTGTAATAAACTTTCCAAAAGGGCGTCACGGGAAATATATAGTAAGAACAGAGACCACTTGTCTAGGCTAAGTGCAAAAAACAAGAAAAAACCACACACAAGGAAAGAATCATGAGCAGGGAACATTAAAAAGTTTGTACTAAAAGGTATTAGAAAAACATAAAATTATTATTTGATGATCACATGTATACAACTATCCAGCCGTCGGCTACTTATACAGCTTGTACAATTCATGGTCAAGAGTTTGATTATTCATTCCCCCATGATCATGTTATATAATGATACAATCTCGCCATACATAAATGTTAATTTGAATATAAAACGATTGTTGGCTTTATCTCTTAAAAGTTTAAAGTTTAAGTTATATGAATTTTCGGTTTTTTTTTTTAAAAAAATTGAAAAATTAATATAACTATTATAGGAAGCTCTTGCTTTTCTTTTTTCTTTTTTCTTTTTTTTATCACTTTTAAGTTTTATAATGTCGCCAATTCGCTATAAGTGACATCTAGAAACAAATTAACTTTAAGAACAAGGCCGGCCGGCCAACCAAAATTGGTTTTTGGGCTAATTTTTTAATCCTCTCTTTCTCTTTATTTTTTTTTAATACATAAAGATCTAGCAAATTAGGACGTTTAGTTTTTTTTTTTTTTTTTTTTTTTTTTTTTTTGGAGGGAAAAATTATTTTTATTGAACAATGAAGAAGAAAGAAATTCTAACGTTAAAATTTGGGTGCCATCCTCGTCACTACAACGTCAGCATAGTTAGTTTGTGTATATCCGTGGCCCCATGTATCTATCTACTCATGAGAATGATGATTTCGTATTAACAAAAATAAATAGTTAGGTGTATATTTAAAATGTGCTGGATTATGATTCTAGCATATGTGAACAATTTTGTAGCATTTTAGCATATGTGAACAATTTTATGGAATTAATTGACTTTTTTTTGGGTCCTCAACTTATTTACAAATTTAGTGGAATACGGAAATTTGAAGGAGCAATTACAAAATAGTCAAATTTTTTAATAATTTTAAGGGAGAGTTAATGATAACTTCTTGAAGTTGAAGTAGTTTGCATTTAAGTCCAACTTTATTGCTTCTTTTGAACAAAGAACTTAAATTTCCGGCCACTCATTATCGGTGATTTTGTCATAGTGGATAAAGATCAATATATATATATATATATATAATTAGCACTCCTATAGTTTTCCGAATCCGATCTATATTTTATCATTTTGGGCAACACAATTAGTAACTATCTTTCTGTTTTCAGGCGAATAATTACTCTAATTATTCCACTCGTGCTTTGAACATAAATCTCCAAACTCTTATTCATTTATCTATTTATACCAAATATCTTTATGTTTTTAAAGAATATGCGTAAAAAGTAAAATATGTAGTCAATTTCTGCAACTCCATTAGTCAATAACATGGCACAGGATAATGTAGACTTATATAACCAATGATATACTTGCCAAGTGTGTTTGAACGTTTGCACTCAAAACTTTGGCCTCAAAAAAGATTGTGAATACTTTTCCTTAGAGATAACAATTGTCTATTTTGTTTATTCATCAAAAAAATAAAATAATAAAAAAATAATTGTCTAGTTGTTAACTATTTTGTAAACTCCAACTAGCGTGACCAACCTATTACCTGTAACATCTAACTGAACCTGGTATATATTCATACTTGGGAAAAAAAAAGATCAAAACAAATACGATATGTTACTATCTATTGGACCACCAAAATTTGGTCCTATTCGAATGTTGAATTTTTATGTGCCAATTCCAATTTGTCCTCTATGATGGGTAACATATTTTATATGTTCACATTATTCCATTAGTTTTCTCAAAACCTCCTGATATAAATTTTTAATAATATGACTTTGATGTCGACGTTCTTAAGGAATATAGTCAGAAAACAAGTTGATATTTCTTTCTTGTGTATTTGGATTAAACAGTTTCTTTGACTTCCCTTTATTTATTTAAACACTAGACATGAAGATGCGAAAAGGATAATAATCACAATGTGTATAATAGAAATGAAAAAGATGAATAAATGAACTTTATAATGTAATTTTGCACGTTCATATTATCTTTCAATTACACGTTAAATATATTATTACTTTAATAGCTTTTTTTTTTTAAAAGGAAGAAAAAAGTTTCGAAAACTTTTTGAGCCGACCTTCAAAAAGGTAGACAAAAAATGGTAATATATCTTTTTTATTTTTTTTTATTTTCCTGCGACCTGGCGTCAGTTAATTCTAACCCACTTTTGCTCTACGTACCAATCATTCACTTTTGACACGCTTTCTTATCATTTTCCCTTTCTTTTTTATTATTGAACAAATCGGCTATGAATATTATTGTTTTCGTTTATTCCAAAAACAATGAATATGTTCCCTAAAAAACAATGAATATAAAAATGAAATTCCAAAAAAAAAAAAAACAAAATACTATATGGAAAATTAATGCACAAAATTGAAGAGACAAAAGGTCTCTTTAATTCCTTAGCTATGTGTGTGTGTCTATATATATAATCCTAATTTCCAATATTACATTAAAAGTTACTCTGCAGAATATTGTGCTAGCAAATTTTGAATAAGAGCGTTTTGTTTGACTTGAAATCTTTACGTAAAAAACTCTCTCTTTTTTTGGTCGAATATTCCACAAAATATGGCATTGTAGACGAATACAAGTAAACCTAGTCCAAGAGAGCGACAACTAGTTGGAATGAAAAAAGAAAACAAGTCTAAAACTACAGGTAGTATTTGTGCTTTATCTTTTTCACCCAAAAAAATATATATATATATATATGCCTTATCAAATACATTGTATATAAAGATATTTTAGTTGTCGCAAAAAGTTATTCTCGAAAAGAAAATGTCCCAAAATTGTTGATCTACAAATATGTTTATTCGCATATATGAATAATACTTGTAATTATAACCAAAAGGAAATAAACAATTTCCTCGAAATTATGCACAAGGCAGCTTTTTTTTTTTTTTTTTGGCTTAATAAACGCTGAAGTTATTTGATTATCTTTTTTTTTTATTTCCTTCTCTTTCCTTTTTCTCGGTCTGAAGTCATTGCTTATCTTAGACATTAAGGGGAAAAAAAAAGAAAAAAAAAAAAAAGAGGAAGCAAATAATAAGAAAGCCATTGGGACGTTGACTTACTAGGCAGGCCATCAAAATCACCACGTGTAAAGATCTAACGGTGGCTCCCACTGAGACATCTTCTATTCAAGACCGCCTCGTGCCCTTTCATTTCTCCTTGGTCCTCCCTTGCCTATATAAACAACACTCCTCACCACCACATTATATCAATAAAATCCATTTTACTACTTCTTATTATATCTCTTCCTCTTCTTCTTTTTCTTCTAATATTGTGTTTTAGTACTATTGAGTACTGCTATTATTGTTTTGATATATATATATATATATATCTATATATATATATACACTCTTTGAGTATACTATATATAAAGATTGTAAGGGTTTTGATATAATATATAATCGGAGCCTTTTACGATCAACAACATGCCTGCCGGAGGGTTATCGGTGGCCTCGGCCGCGACAGAGTTCGAGGCAAAGATCACGCCTATCGTCATCATCTCATGCATTATGGCCGCCACCGGAGGCCTCATGTTTGGTTACGACGTCGGTGTTTCAGGTGACCACATGATCTCTTCTAACTCTCTCTTTCACGTAGAATTTTGTGTGGCTCATTGATTTTTCTCTTTGAGTAATTTAGATCTTATTAATTAATTTTTTTTGCTAGAAAGTTTAAATCTTATACTTGTTAATTGGTAGGCAACTAAGCATGTTGTTTGGTCACGGTAGTTCTGGAAACGCAATCGATTTTTTTTTTTCCCCCCAACTATAAACAGTCATAATTATCTAAGAAAAAAAAAGAGAAACAAAAAACTAAAAAGGAAACAAAGTTTCATAGATGTTATACTATCTTGATCAATATTGTGGTGAGGATCTCTTTTTGTCTCTTTAGCCGAAACTTTCTGAGAGTAATATATATTCGTAATTAATTAACTTGGTTATATGATATAGCGAAAAAAATAAAATAAATTAACTTGGTTATATGTGAGATTATGTTTAGACAAAGTGAAAAAAGAAATGAAAAAAGAAAGGAAAAAAAAAATAATGTTCCTCATAAAACTCTGTGCTGAATCTGTGAATAAGAAAAAGAGAAAAAGACAGTCAGATCCATGAAAAAGTGAACTTCTCACCCGCCAAAGCTGGAACCCAGACACCTTTTTTGCTTTTGATAACTCCAAGAATGCCTGTTCCTCAAACGGGGGTGTTTTAGGAACTTCAAAAATGTTTATTGGCGCAATCACAGCCGTTGACCTTCAGAATCAATATGACGCAGAAACCCGCCAACTGAATATTTTTCTTATATTTGCTATCCCACGCCATGTGCGCACGTGCCATGTTGGCGTCTTTCACTATTCCCGTGTTAGTTAAACTTACCATAAAAAGTTAAATCACATTCTTGTTTATAATTTGTTTTAATTTAATTTAATTTTTGCTAATTTTGATCAAATATTATTTTTATTTTCAGGGGGCGTTACATCCATGCCGTCTTTCTTGAAAAAATTCTTTCCTGTCGTTTATAGACAGTCGCAGAATGAGGATGATAGCAACTATTGCAAATACGACAACCAAGGCCTACAATTGTTCACATCATCTCTATACCTAGCTGGTTTAACGGCTACTTTTTTTGCCTCCTACACCACAAGAAGGCTAGGCAGAAGGCTAACCATGTTGATCGCCGGAGGTTTCTTCATCGTCGGCACGGTTTTGAACGCCGCCGCCGACAACCTCGCCATGCTCATTCTTGGCAGGATCTTGCTTGGTTGTGGCGTTGGCTTTGCTAATCAGGTTTGTTTTGTTAATTCCTATTGTGTTGATTTTTTTTTTTTTGTGTGTAAAGTGTAACAACTAAACATACGGTCTGATCAGTTAGTTGAACCCACAAACCCACCGTCCTATAACCGAAAGAAAAAAAAATCCATCGTACTTAAAATTAATTTCTATCATGTGTCCCAACTTTTAATTTGGATAATTGTATGCACACTTGTCTCTCAAAGTGAGTAGGTTTATCACGTGGGGTCCTTTTAGTCCATCTCTGGGGTCCACTATTTGTCAAATCGGGTCACTTTTTTTATTTTTTATTTTTTTCTCACCTAATAAACTTTTACTTCATGTTAACGACATAGGGATCCCAACTTCCAACTCTTTTTTTATTTTTATTTTTTATTTTTTATTTTTTATTTTTTGCCCTTTTACCAGTGTAACATTATTTAACCTTTTATTATCAACTTACATGATTAAGTGAATTTTCATTTGGACTAGTAAATACCGTATTTTATAGATAGGATTAATAGCACTTGATATTGGAAGATACAACTCCTATACCATTTAAGTGGATTCGAATATGCATCTAGCATTATATTCAATGGTTAAATTACACATTACACATATTACAATATGTCTGCTATATATATAATTTGTCAAACAGTATGCATGTTAGAATTATGCATTTTAAATATAGTAAGAATACTAGTTATTGTATAGCTGTCGTAGTTTGTATTTAGTGTTCGTAGTCAAAAACTAAGCTTTACATCTGACGCAATCAAATATTTTTCTAGGGCTTTTGTAGATCTTGTGATATTTACAAAAGAAAATTTTGTTGAATTATTTAGTCAAGAAATTAATTAATAAATAAGAAAATGAGCAAATGTTTAGTATGTATGGTGTCCCAATTTTGTCGGTAAAGAGTGGAAGAGATTAGTTGGTCATGCTCATGATCAAATCAGAAAGCTATGTTTTTCAGCAATTGGTCATCCACTAGTTTTCAACTATTATCTTTTTCTTTCTTTTAAGTATTAAATGTTTGACGTTTCTGTACATGTGAATAAGCTTTTTTTTTTTTAATTTTTTTGGGATTAATTTAAAGGAACATCATATGATAAGGTGTACGTAGCTTGGAATTATCCAGACAAAGTAGATGAACCTACTTTCCATGTATCTTTCTTGCTTCATTAAATTTTTTTTTTTGGCAAGTCTTTATTCACTTTTGTTTGAATAACGTGATCAAGTGGACCCCTTTTTGTTTTAATTAATATTTTCTAGTTTAATTATGGTGGTTGAATCCTTTTGGATTGTTTATCTTGACAAGAATCATTTTTTGTTATTACTTTGACCAAAATTTTCAACATATGTGCGTGTACATGTAAAAGGCACAGCTTGGAGTGGTCCATATGATCCGACTTAAGCATGTTTTTTTGTTTTCAAATGTAAATCATTGTAAACAAGTTGCTTACTCTTATTTGTATTATTCCAACTTATATATCAAAGAATCTGAATCCTACTAAAAATTTGTAATGTCTTTTCTAAAAACACGATACCGCTTTTTAGTCAGATTTTTCGTCTCATATATGTGTATCTATATATATATATGTATGTATTTACATGTATGTAGAGTGATCGCTTTTTCTACTTGAGTGGTCACAAAAGAAGTTTTTTCAACTTACTTAACTTGTATAACTCATGAGGATAATTAATGGGTCAGAGCCAATTTTTTTCTTTGAGCAAGTGGGAATTTTTTTTTTTTTTTTTTAATGTGTTTTGTCATGATTTTCTAATTTAGGCTTTAATTTTTCTTTTTCATGTTGTAACAGGCTGTGCCACTTTTCCTTTCGGAGATTGCACCCACAAGAATACGTGGAGGACTAAACATACTATTCCAGCTCAATGTTACCATTGGAATTCTCTTTGCAAACCTTGTAAATTACGGCACTGCCAAGTAAGTCAAACTCAAATTTTGTCTTAAAACAAACACACGCACAATATATATACATACATACATATATATATATATATATATGAAATTAACAGTTAGTGACGATTCTTCTTTCATTAAACATATATATGAAATTAAATTATATATGCATGACGAATAGAATAGGAATATTTTCGTTTGGCAGCAATTATTAATAATAAAAAATTAAGACAGCTCATGTTTTAAGACAAAAAAATCGCAATTCAACTTAAGATTAATTGGACTAAAATGTGCACACGTGCCTATCTTAGACACCTCGTTGTCTCTTAGTCTTAGGTAATCAATCGTTGGGAAAAAAAAAAAAAATATATATATATATATATATATTACTAAAAATTTAATGGTCAAATTTTTAACGTAGTGTTGACTCTTTATTTTTATTTATTAACTTATTTGAAAGGGGTAGTGTTGACTATTGAATATGAAACATATTCCCCAAAATCATGATTGACTATTGACATTAAACATATTAATTAGACCTAGCTAGAGCAGTTAAACTTCATTATCTTTAAACGCAAGGTGAATTATATCGTTTGGAAGAGATTCCAAAATTAATATTAGACAAGTCAATCCGTAATGAGTCACATTTAATTAACAAACGTAACACCACTAGAGTTGTTAGGTTTCCATAGGACACTTTAGTACATTTTCAGGAATTAGTTAGGACTTGAATACGTATCAAACAAAGAAAATAAAACTTTGATTAAACTAATACTCATTAAATTAATAACCTCGATTAAATAATTTTTTTAGCCGGTCTCGACTTGATCCGAAGAGTAATAATTTATCTCGATTAAATAATATCTCCGTCAATTAATAAATTTTCACGGTCCTAAGGGTCCTAATTAATTATAGAAGTTTAACTCACATTGCATAAGTACAATGATTAAAGAATTTCAAATTAAGTGTCCCATTAATAAAAGAAATGTTTACAGTAAATTTTTAGTTATTCTTATTTATAACATTATTTCAGTTTTAATTATGAATCTAATGCATATGCTTTTCACTTAAATGAAATTAAACAGGATTGAAGGTGGATGGGGATGGAGGGTTTCACTTGGTTTGGCAGGAATCCCTGCTGGTCTACTAACCATAGGAGCTCTCTTGGTTGTGGACACTCCCAACAGTCTGATAGAGCGAGGTCACATGGAAGAAGGCAAAGCTGTGCTTAGAAAGATTCGCGGCACTGACAACGTTGAACCCGAGTTCTTGGAACTGGTCGAGGCTAGCCGCATTGCTAAGCTAGTCAAACACCCCTTTAGGAACCTCATTAAGCGCAAGAACCGTCCTCAACTTGTCATCGCGGTTTCCCTCCAGGTAATTGAAACTTTAATGTTAGAAGCAAAGATGTGAATGTGCCGTTAAATTATATGCTTTGAACCACTCAATCCACACATATTATATATATATATATATATTTATATAACAAATTATTAAATTTTTTATTAGCATGATAATCATGTAGGAAAATTTGTGATTGGTCGAAAAATGATATGTAGTCTAGTTTAATGTTAGAAGCAAAGATGTGAATGTGCCGTTAAATTATATGCTTTGAACCACTCAATCCACACATATTATATATATATATATATTTATATAACAAATTATTAAATTTTTTATTAGCATGATAATCATGTAGGAAAATTTGTGATTGGTCGAAAAATGATATGTAGTCTAGTGACATTTAGCATTTTTCACTTGTCGCCAAGTTTTGTGCCCTAATTCATAATACATATAAAATTAATTTGGGGTGCAGATCTTCCAACAATTCACGGGCATAAACGCGATCATGTTCTACGCACCAGTGTTGTTCAGCACGTTGGGATTCGGAAGCGACGCTTCTCTATACTCGGCCGTGATAACAGGAGCCGTTAATGTTCTGTCCACGGTTGTGTCGATCTACTCGGTCGACAAAGTCGGACGTCGCATGCTGTTGTTGGAGGCTGGGGCTCAGATGTTCTTGTCCCAAGTGGTCATAGCAATAATCCTAGCAATAAAGGTGACGGACACATCTAATGACCTAGGCAAGGTGTGGGCAATCCTGGTTGTTGTGTTGATTTGCACTTATGTGTCGTCCTTTGCGTGGTCGTGGGGGCCTCTTGGCTGGCTAATTCCTAGTGAGATCTTCCCACTCGAGACTCGCTCGGCAGGGCAGAGTGTGACGGTGTGCGTCAACTTGCTCTTCACTTTTGTCATAGCGCAATCCTTCCTTTCCATGCTTTGCCACCTCAAGTATGGCATTTTCTTGTTCTTCTCCGGGTGGGTTCTCATCATGTCGTTTTTCGTCATGTTCCTGCTGCCGGAGACGAAGAACATCCCGATCGAGGAGATGACCGAGAGGGTGTGGAAGCAGCATTGGCTCTGGAAGAGGTATATGGATGGTGACGATGATGATGATGAGCCTCAAAAGATTGATCAAGGGAATTATGGAGCTAATGGTGATGCCAAGAAGCACAATCGGCATAACAATGGATTGTAAACTTGTGGAATAAACTCAAGAAACTTTTTAGATATAGATTAGTTTAATTACCTAGGCACTTAATTAATTTTCATGATCTATCATTCTCCAGTGTTGTTTTATCCTCACTGCTGGAGTTTTTTTTTTTTTTTTTTTTTTAATTTTTCTCCCCTGTTTTTTTCTTTTCTTTTGTGTGATACTTGATAAGGCTGGCCATGTAATCAAATTCAGAAGGCTCTGGAAGAGTACTTGTCCGCTGCTATGTATCTTTAGTTCATTTTGAACTTCTTTTTTCTTAAATTGCAATAAGAAATATTCTTTTGCTTGAAACAAATTATAAATTGGAAGTGGCTTACAATGTATGATTTGTTAATTGTTACCATAATAATTTGCAATTTACCCATTATTCATTGCATGCCGAAATATTCTTTTGCCTGAAACAAATTATTCAATGATGTAGTGCATAAATGTAGATTTTAACTCTTTTACATTGCTTCCTCAAAATATCTCCTATCTAAGATTTTCCTTTTATTTTATTTTTCTTAGTAGGGGTGAACAAATTAGCAAGTCTAATAGAATAACTATCCAATTCCATCCAACTTAAATTGGATTGTGTTGAATTTTAAAAATTAAAAGAAGTAAGGAAATTAACCACCAATCTTGAAGGAAGGGTATTGGTTTTTTCTTTGAAGGCTATTAGTTTTTTACCCCTTTCTTTTTCTTTCTTTGGTACTTCATATGTTACTAGTTTAATTTTGAGTAAATAGTGGTTTAAACGAGGGGAAAAAAAATTCCACACAAACATATAGTTAAAGTAAACCACTGGTCTACTTTTCTGTAAACCAGTGGTTGAAAGGAAAAATTGTGCACACAAACAAAGAATAAAAGTTATGAGTAAATCAGTGTGATAAAGGAGGCAAAAATCTATCTCACGCATATACAAATTAAAGTTTAAACTAGTGGTTATTAAACCATTAGATTCCATCACTCGAAGGGAGGAGATCGGTGACAAAGCCACATGGAGGGAGGATCGAGATCGGCATCGGTGCAAACAGGGAGGAGAGTATTGGTGTTATAAATCAATAATTTGGTGAAAACCATCACCCAAAAGCCAAGAACATTCATGTCAGATCATCAAGAACTAATAAATCTATAATCGGAAGCGTACCTGAATCCATATTGATTGATTTCTCTCTAGAGTCGTGCAGTTTGTCTTCCAGATCAACACGTTTTCTTAGAGAACCCTTTAACTTTCTCTCTATACTCTCTCTAATAATGGGATGTCAGAAGGAACAGAATATAACGTGTGATCTAGGGACCATAACTCTCATTTATAGATAACTTCCCTATTATCTTTTGTTATTTCTATTTTAGCCCATCATAAAAATAAAAATTACCCTTAAGTCTCTACACATTAAAGGCCCACACCCTATTAGATACATTAAAACCCAAAATACCCAAACCTTAATAGATCACTTTTAATTGGGCTTAACCTTATATGACAGCCCGCAACACATAATTATTCACATATAAGCCCAACGTTAGATTAAGGATCCAACAATCTCCCACTTATGCTATATGTGTAACCTTATAATTATGCTTTGTAAAAAAAACCGTATGAGCTCAACTTTGCTATCATTACCGAAATGTATCTGTAACTAATCCGGTCCATTAATCATACCAACATAGGATCAAAGCGGCATTCGTTACAACTGTCGTAACTCGACCCATCAATGGTCACGTATGCCAATACAACTGAATCACATGGATCATGATGTCAATGTGTAGCATGGAAATTTCATGTAATGTGATCTTAACATGCCTATTTTTAACTGGTCCACCTTAAACCTTAGTGAGATCAAACCATACCAAAATCAAAGTGTGAATAAACCAAAACTTTATTTATGTAGAAAATAACCTCAAAATATCCATAAACTGAAATAACTGAAAATATGTCTATATCATAGAAGCATCTAAAATTACAAACTCCCACTAAAACTGAATATCCTATAATGACATGACACTCATACGAGCAGTGTGCTCATGAAACACTTTGGGTGCAATCCCTTAGTAAGCGGATCCGCAACCATGGAGTTTGTACTGATGTGCTCTATAAATAATTGTCCACTATGAACTCTTTTCTTGACAATTAGGAACTTGATGTCTATATGATTTGACTTCGTCGAGCTCCTGTTGTTGTTGGAATACAACACTGCTGACTTATTGTCACAAAATAACTTGAGTGGAATTTCAATGCCGTCCACTAGGCGCAACCCCGTGAAAAAATTCCGTAATCATATTTCGTGATTGGACGCCTCATAACATGCTATGAACTCTACCGCCAAGGTAGAAGAGGCTATAAGAGACTGTTTAGCACTCTTCTAGGAGACAACACCTCCAGCTAGTAGGTAGATATAGCCTGACGTAGATTTCATACTATCTAGGCATCTAATAAAATCGGAGTCAGTATACCCAACGATCTCAAGCTGATCCGACCTCCGATACATGAGCATGTAGTCTTTTGTTCTCTGTAAGTACCGCAAAACCCGTTTGGCTGCTTTCCAATGGTCTACTCTTGGATTACTTAAATACATGCCTAACATCCCAGTAACGTACGCAATATTCGGACGCGTACAAACCTGAGCATACATTAGACTTCCTACTGCTAACGCATAAGGAATCTTCTGCATTTCTTTTTCCTCAAAATCATTCTTAGGGCACTGATTGAGACTAAACTTGTCTCCCTTAGCCATATGGGTATCACCTGGTTTGCAATCTTGCATGTCATATCTCTTGAGAACCTTTTTGATATAGCATTTTTGTGATAACCCAAGAATACCCCAAGAGCGATCCCGGTGTATCTCAATGCTTAATACAAAAGAGGCGTCACCAAGATCTTTCATCTCAAAATTCTTAGCTAGAAATCTCTTGATTTCGTGCAATAAGCCTATATTGTTGCTGGCAAGCAAAATGTCATCGACATATAAAACCAGAAAAATATACTTACTCCCACAGAACTTATGGTATATGCAATCATCGACCAAATTCATCTCAAAACCGAACGAGATGATCACTTGATGAAACTTGAAATACCATTGTTGAGATGCTTGTTTGAACCCATAGATGGATTTCTTAAGTTGGCAAACCATATTCTTTGGGTCTCCTGACACAAAGTTTTCAAGTTGCACCATATAGATTGTCTCGTCAATATTTCCATTGAGAAACGTTGTCTTTACATCCATCTGATGTAACTCAAGATTGAAATGCGCCACTAATGCCATTATAATCCTGAAAGAGTCTTTTTGAAAAAACCGGAGAGAAAGTCTCTTTATAGTTGATGCTTTCTTTTTGTGTAAAGCCCTTTACGACAAGACATGCCTTGTACCTCTCCATATCACCTTTCGAATCCCTCTTGGTCTTAAATATCCATTTGCAACTAATGGGTTTAGCACCTTCTGGCAATGGGACAAGATCCCACACGTCATTGTCCTTCATGGACTTAATCTCCTCATTCATGGCCTCAATCCACTTCTGAGAGTTAGAACTTTCCATGGCTTAACGGAAGTTAATCGGATCATCTTCCATCACCCCAATGTCTACCTCATGTTCTTAGAGAAATACAATGTAGTCATCTGGCACCGCACTTCTCCTTTCTCTAGTGAACCTCCTTAATGGCATCGGTTCTTGAGGTGGTAGAGTTTTTTCTTCTGGAACAACTTCTTGTATGGGAGGTTCTCTGACATTGTCTTGATCTGTTGTGTCTTGAACAAGGTCAAGTATGAGATCTTGATCGATGCCAATAGCACTTGTGGGAATATCAACATATTCCTCTTCGAAGACAAAGTCCATAACTGTATCTCCCCCCGCAAACTTGACATCCTCAAAGAACCGGGCATTTCCTGACTCAAAAATTGACTTAGTCACGAGATCATAAAACTTGTACCCCTTGGATCTTTCAGAGTATCCAATAAAATAGCAACTCACCATCCTTAAGTCAAGTTTCTTTTCATTAGGCCTATAACGCCTTGCCTCAGCTGGACATCCCTAAACATGCAAGTGCTTTAAACTAGGCTTCTTGCCTATCCAATGCTCGTAAGGGGTTTTGGCAATCACTTTAGTTGGAACCCTGTTAAAGATATATGCTGCAGTCTTAAGCGCTTTTCTCCAGAGTGATTCTGGTAAGGTTGAATGACAAATCATACTCCTCACCATGTCCTTAAGCGTCCTGTTTCGTCTTTCAGCAACATCATTCATAGTGGGCGAACCTAGCATAGTGTATTGTGGAACGATACCGCATTTCTCGGAGATTTTCTTTTCTTTTGTGTGATACTTGATAAGGCCGGCCATGTAATCAAATTCAGAAGGCTCTGGAAGAGTACTTGTCCGCTGCTATATATCTTTAGTTCATTTTGAACTTTTTTTTTAAATTGCAATAAGAAATATTCTTTTGCTTGAAACAAATTATAAATTGGAAGTGGCTTACAATGTATGATTTGTTAATTGTTACCATAATAATTTGCAATTTACCCATTATTCATTGCATGCCGAAATATTCTTTTGCCTGAAACAAATTATTCAATGATATAGTGCATAAATGTAGATTTTAACTCTTTTACATTGCTTCCTCAAAATATCTCCTATCTAAGATTTTCCTTTTATTTTATTTTTCTTAGTAGGGGTGAACAAATTAGCAAGTCTAATAGAATAACTATCCAATTCCATCCAACTTAAATTGGATTGTGTTGAATTTTAAAAATTAAAAGAAGTAAGGAAATTAACCACCAATCTTGAAGGAAGGGTATTGGTTTTCTCTTTGAAGGCTATTAGTTTTTTACCCCTTTCTTTTTCTTTCTTTGGTACTTCATATGTTACTAGTTTAATTTTGAGTAAATAGTTGTTTAAACGAGGGGGAAAAAAATTAAACACAAACACATAGTTAAAGTAAACCACTGGTCTACTTTTCTGTAAACCAGTGGTTGAAAGGAAAAATTGTCCACACAAACAAAGAATAAAAGTTCTGAATAAATCAGTGTGATAAAGGAGGACAAAAACTATCTCACTCATATACAAATTAAAGTTTAAACTAGTGGTTATTAAACCATTAGATTCCATCACTCGAAGGGAGGAGATCGGTGACAAAGTCACGTGGAGGGAGGATCGAGATCGGCATCGGTGCAAACAGGGAGGAGAGTATTGATGTTGGCCTCACACCGTCGAAGGATTTCGGCGCCGCCTCACTGACAGAAGAGAGAAACGAAATCAGCCTAGCGCGGAGGAATTAAGGAGAGAATAGGTGTGGACTGTGGTGATTTGTTAAAATGCTTTGCTAATTATGATAATTAATTATGCTTTGCTAATTATGATAATTAATAATGCTTTGCTAATTATGATAATTAATTATGCTTGTCTTATTTCTATTGATTTACTGTTTATAATTAATATTCACTTTATAATTAATTTTCACGTTCAATTGTAGCAATATCTTTAAATTACAAATTAGCTCTAAACATCCAGTATAAATCGAATTGGATTAGAATGGATGTGATATTTACTTCATGTGGTACCATAAAACATTTTCCGCCTTAACAGGCTAGAAGCCAAGTTTTGTTTCTCAAACCTCCAAAGCCAACTATAGTTTCATGACTATTGACTATTCAAATATTCAAAAAAAAAAAAAAAAAATCCACAGTTAATATATTTCTCTTTTTTTAAGGGATACTATTTTTCTATGAGCAATGCGAACAACAAATCTTATACTATACTAGTATGGTTGCTCTATCATTGTACCTCCTTGCTAAACTAATTAGTAATTAATTAGTTTCCATGCTTCATATATACGTCATTTGGGCTTCGTATTTGGGACTCTTAATTATTCGTTAACAATTAAAGAGGAAAAATCAGAAATGCCACTCAAGATAGTAAAAAGTATTATTTATGTCACTCCACTCAAAAATAAACAATTGGCATTCAATTAATAAAGAGAAAACAAAGCTATAATGACACCAAATTATTTAAAATGACATAAATAATAAATCTGCACAAAATCATGACAAATCATATACTTTTCTCACAATTTATTAGAACACCTTTTTGTGGGGGTCTATTTTCCTACTTTACTTGCAAATGGATACATCTAATAAACTATAAATTATATAAATATAAAATATTGAATCTCCACTAGAAATCCAATAATACAATGCAATATTGGGGTTTTAAACATTTAAACAAAATATCAAACTATATTTCTTTACTAAAATTATTGTTTTCTTAGCTAGAAAATCATGTTTCATACCTATACATGTGCATATAACATGGTATAAGGGGAAAATGTATGAAGCAAGGCACCACTTTTCTCATCCAGAAAGCAAAGATAACCCAACTAAAACGAAACTATAACCATAGTATGGTACAATATGGTAGCCATTTTTTTTAAAAGGAAAATATGGCAGGCAATTTTATTTTATTTTTTTCCCTAATGAAATATGGTAGACAATTTCAATCATGGCATTCATCAATAAGGACAAAAAGATCTATATATATCCACAATAATTTAATTAAAAACATTTATCTCAATCATGGGATTCTTATTTAATTTGCTTGAGCTGAAGATGAGCTAGGCCTAGCAGCCAACCACTCGACCAACAAACTCGGCCAACATTCTTTCCTTTCAAGTCCCTTCAACCATTGTGATCCGAAGCCAAAAACGATGTTTGCGGCCAAATAGTTTAAGATATTAGTTGAAGTCAACAATCCATCAGACTTTGAAAACTAATTAAGAATTGTAATTTTCCTTGATGTTGATACTCGAAAACTCACATATATTATTCAGGAATCACGTCGTTTTTTTTTTCCTTAGATTTTAGTTTTTAAGTAAAAAGAGACCATCAATGTGAATGTTTAACCTTACACTGATTAAACATGTATTGCAAATAGAATTAGTCTAACATGCGTTCTCGAAATTTAAGGTCTTTCTTACTTTATCATGAACTTTTAAAACTCACACTTTGTTCTTTTTAATTTTAAATTAGTCTAATTTAATCATTCTATTAGAATTTTTGTGAAAAATAGATTAAAAAAATAGGAAAATTAATCTCGCTTAACCATTTTTATTAGAATTCTATTAAAAACAAACAGAAAAAGTCACAAAATCACATGTTTTTTTTATTTGTTTTTAGTAAAAATTCTAATAGAAATGGATAAAAACGAGTCGTTTAAAATTTATGAGATGAAATGGGAATGACCTTCAAGGTACAGGCACATTTAAGAATAATTTGCACAAATAATTACACTTCCCAAAAAAATTGAGTCATGAATTAAGCTTTGCCCCCACAACAACTCAATTAACACTAATAAATAAAGAAGGAAACCACGGTGCAAAACACTTATAAATGAGGGACCCACATGATATAATTACCTTCTCTATAAGAGCTTCCAATTACCTCCAATGGACCCAACTTTGCCAGCACTCCAAAAGCTTTATAAAGTCACAAGAGAAACCCTCTTCCCAATTGTCTCACATATCTCTCAAAAAACCAAAACAAACCCAAAAACCAACTAAGTTACTCCCTCAATACACACACTTTATAATTCTAAGCAGCCATGGCTTTGCTAATATTGAATATTTCTATGGCTATGGTGGTATTGGGTATCTTTCAGGCTTGCCATGGCGCGGTTTACAAGGTTGGAGACTCCGCGGGATGGACCATCATTGGTAATGTGGACTATAAACTTTGGTCTGCCATTAAAACCTTCAAAGTTGGTGATGTCATCAGTGAGTAATCTTTTCCCATATTTTTTTCTAGCCACCTCTTAGAATTTCCATGATTTCTGATCTTGTGTTAATTTTTGGTTAAGTAACAAATGTTTTTTTTCATACTTTGTATATATAGATACATAAATACGCTTTTGGAATTTTTGCGAGTTTAATAGTGGGGAGACATTATCACATTAACATGATATAGTAAAACGAGCTCAATTTTTCCCTCAGCAAAAAAAAAAATAATAATAAAAGAGCTCAATTTTCTAGGAAGAGTGTTTTTTTTATACTTTACATTCAATGAGCTTTTTTTCACAGTAAGTTTGTTCTGTACTATTTTCCTATCCCACTCCGCTCCTTGTTGTCTCCTTACTAGTTTAGCCATGATGTAATTTTCTGTCGTTTGTTCTGTTTCTGTTTCCTTCTTCTTGTGATGTGGCCTCGTTGTTTGTTTGTACTTTGTCTCAAATCTTTCCCAGGTAAAAGGACAAGAACAGTGAATTACATATTGACGTCATAATTTCATTTTTGTTAAATTATTGACATCATAATTCCTCTCTCTCTCCCAATGTTGCCCACAAATCAGTAATAGTGGCTAGAAATACACATATATATTTACATATATATATATATATAGTTGGTACAACCCTGCAGATTCCATTACATATAGATGTGTTGTCGCTTTAGGAGACCTGATAACAATGCATGCTCTTGCTCAGAGATAATAAAGTTTACAGTTTGAATGAAGATAGAAGCTTGTAGCTTTTATAGTTATCCCCACATGGGAAGCATTATATGTGTTTATTGTCATTTAAGACTGCCCTTCTGTAGTTTCGTTGGCTCTTTATTGTTTTGGTCGGCCATTCACTTGCATTCCTTATATACATATACATATATATATATATATGCGTATGTATGTGTGTGTGTAATATATTTCCAACTTCCATCTCAGGCACGCTTTCATGATGAAAGGTTACGTAATGTTAACTCCACCTAGAAACATTACTAGTAATCAATTATTGTACCTCAGAGCCAAAAAAAAAAAAAAAAAAAATGCAATCATTGTACCAATGTACTTTTTGGACCGCGGAGTCCGTCTTTCATTTGAATGAAGGTGTATATAATGTTTTTAATAAATTATCTTAACGAGAATATATAAAAAAAAATATATTTATTTTAATAGGGGTATATATTATTTTAATGGGAGTTTAAATGTAAAATTTTTAAATTTTTAAAGATAATATTTTAAAAAAAATTTAAATAAGAGCTCTGAATTGTACTTAAATATGCCACTGTTTGGACCTAACATTGACAATTTGTTACATGTTTTTGGCGTATTAAAATTTTCATTTTATGAAAGTTTTTTCTATATATCATTCCTCTCAAAAGCAAGTGTATGCTTACACGTAAAGGAGAGAGTTAGAAGTATAGAAAATGTTAATTCAACGTTTATAAGTTGTATCTAATCAAAGATTCTCATGTTATTTTGATCTCTCTCTAGAAAGCAAAAGAAAGAGGAGCAAAAGGAGCAAAATTTTATTAATACAAAGTTATTCTTACTCCTAGGTTTTTAGAAAATGTTAAATCTATTAATCACGAGAGATCATATAATCACATATTCACATGTTATTTTTATTTTTGCTAATATGACTAAACTTTTTATTTTTTTTGGTTTTAGAATTCGAATATAACCCCCAATTCCACAACGTGATGAGAGTGACACACGCAATGTACAAGACATGCAACGCCTCACTGCCTATAGAGAGCTACACCACAGGCAATGACACCATCACTATCACCACTCGTGGCCACCACTTCTTCCTCTGCGGCGTCCCCGGCCACTGCCAGTCCGGCCAGAAGGTCGACATCAACGTGCCTCGTGTCTCCGCCGCAAACATTGCTCCAACTCCTTCTGCTTTGGTCTCTCCTTCAACCGACGTCAAGCCGCCTTCGCCATCTTCCAATACTAGTGCTTCTATTGCAGCCATCAAGAGTCATGATCTTGTTTTGCTTGCTTTGCAGGCTGCTGTGCTCTTTGTGCTTTTTGGTTTCTCTGATATTCTTGCTTAGTGCATGGTGAGGAAAATGTATTTCCATCGTTTGTCTTGTTGGGGATTTTTTAAAGTGGGTTTAAAGGATTTTTGTTTTTGTTTTTTTGGGGTCTACTTTTTTGGGTTGGCTGATTAAGAAGCTTGTCTTTCAACTGTAATTGAGCTATACATGCACAGAATACAAAATTGCGAATAAGTTTCTTTTGTTACATAATTCTGGCTTACACATGAAGTTTCTCGATACAGATGAACTACAAAATTACTAGATTTCCTAGCATGAGATGCAGAAAATATTGATACAAAGAATCAAATTTCAGTGTTGTTGTTCGAGTTTCCTTTGATATCCAAGAAACGAGATAAAAGGAAACATTTTACCCCTTATTACCAAAATATATCTCTTAGTTTTACACAATGCATTTTAGATAATTTTTTGAAATCTTTCCAAAGTTGACCCTTAAATTTAAATGTGAGATTAATAATATTATCCCTTCGTTCGGTATTGTCCCTTTAATTTAAGTTGTTTAAGTTAAAGAGTCTATTTAGAAGAGCTTTCTAAAAACTATTTTTCGCTTCTTAAATTCAAAAACAACTTCTAAAAATGTTTAACAACTTCTAAAAATGTTTAAATAATTGTTTGAAGTATTTTAACTTCTTAAAATAACTTTTCAGTCAAAACCACATAATGAGCTTTCTAAAAAGAACCACTTACGAACAACCTTTAAAACTTGTACCAGTTACATTAAAGACATTATAAACTTCTTTTAACCCTTCTATTGCTTGTTATAGAATTTAAAAATCATTTTGACCTATTAAGCTCTTCTTCCAAACAATTATTGAAAAGCTACGGTTTTTATTTTTCTTCTTCTACTGGTTAAAAACAAAAGCTCAACCAAACGAGCCCTAAATCTATTTTGATAAATAAGCAGTTATGATTAAAAAGGATAATAATAGAATTATCACTTTTATAAAAGTACTTTTGAACTTTTCTCTATTTTTTTCACCCTCTTTTCTTCATTGCCTTACCGAGAAAAACTGGATACAAGAATTTGACAACTTTAAGGGGACAAAATGAACAAAGAAAAGCGCTTCTTCAGGAAAGAATTTCCAGTACATAACTTGGTTCATATCAATTGCACACAGAAACACCTATTTCTCATGATAATACAAACAATTATGTCGCAAAAATATGCCATGTTATTATTTCACTTCTATTGTTACCTATGATACAAAATTTCACTGTGGTCTAAAGAACCCCTCTTATGCAAGGAGGGCAATATTAACGAATATCTCTAAACCCCTAAGATCAAGACTTGTGAAGACAGAAGGAAGGTAGAAATGGAAGAATCAGTTAAAAAAGGAAAAGAAGAGAAAAAATTAGTCATTAAGGAATACTGAACAGATCAGCCAGATGTCTGTTGGACCAAAAGGCCATTGAGAAGGGGGCGCTCCGCTTCTTCGTTGCTTGCGACTAATCTCTTATCGCGTTGTCGAGCTCTGGTAGGAAGAAGAATAAAAGCCGAATGAAATAACTCCATGTACGGGGAATATTTCTAGATAGCAGCACGTCTTTTTGCCAATGTAGGCACAAAAGCGTGCAGTTAAAAAAATGAAAACGGAAAGAAAAAATTTCATGGTCAAATAAACTCAAAATATTTATGTAATGCCAAAGCAAACTCACACCAAAGACGGCGGAGAAAATGCCTAGTGCGAGAACTATATGACATAACTGCAAAGGCATACTTTCCCATATAGTTTAGCATACCTCTGAACTCATCAGTAACTTTTTTGTCCTCCTCATGTTTTAAGGGACTCATTGGTATGTTTACAAATACAAAATCTAATGAAATCACTTCCCGTCAAAAGGTTGATAGTCATAGAGCAGTAATGCAAAAGTTCAGGAAAGAACTGCTCCCAAAAATATTAAACGCCGGACAGGCCCTCTTAAAATCCAATGATTCATGTTACATAGATGCATTGTTGATGTGCAGTTATTATTCTCAACAAACATCAGAAGCGGAAAAGTTAATTTAGTAATCTCAAGGAGAGAGAATTGAAAATCGGATAGTCTCAAAACATGATTATTCAGACTTAACATGAGTTCAAAAAAAGCATTATAGAGACCTTACACTAGTCGATTGGAGCTCCAGGTTTCCCGAATCCTCATTTTCCTGTAAGACAAACAATCAAAGATCAATGATTGTGCCTTCACTGGTGTTCGAATGCATGCATGGAGCAAAAGGAGTTGCACTACCTCAATCAATAAATCTTTCCTGGTAATCAAACCAAGCACACGGGATGGACGGGGAACAACAAATATGTGTCTCAAACCTAGCTGACGAAAAAGATTATACACCTGCACCACCAAGACGCTTAATTATCTAGAAGAATATAAACACCTGCGAACACGATATTTTAGTGAGAGAAGAAATAAAATTGCAACCTTTGTCAAAGACATATCCTCAGGAACAATGTAGGGATTCGGGTTCAAAAATGGGGCAAGATCTATGTACATTTCCAAGTCATCGGAACTAAGATGTATATCATCTATGGACATTCCTTTACTCGAAGCAGGTTTCACAAATTCGTTGAGACTATGCCTGGAATACAGAAGTCCATCAAAATTTCACAGCACAAAGGGACAGCCAGACTAAATACTTACTATTAAATTTAAGTGCCTACACTCACCTGATGGACCTGGATCCTCTTGAATCACTCGGCAAAGGACTATGCTGGAAATCTGCCTTAGACTGAAGAAGTACCAACAAATGACTGCATCATGAACCGAAAAAAGTCATTTCTTGCAGACAACAATTGTGTGCTTCTTACAAACACAATATCTAAATAGCAAGAAAATTATTTCACACCTTCGAAGCATGAGTCCAATGACAAGTGTTTCTCCACTTCTTGTGTGGTCGATCACCTGCATCGGGTAAAAATGAGCACAAGCCTAAAAGAGGCTAAAAAATTAAGAAAGAAAGAATTAAGGAAAGAACCCACATACAGGGAAGCCATTGTGCTTGTTGCTCTGCAAAATAGAAACCACATCTGCAACCTTAACAACCCGAGGGAAGGAGTTCACCTTCAAAGGATAAACATAACAATCAGTGAATTTCTGAGGGCATTCAAGGGAAGTAGAAAGTGAACAATCCAGCGCAATAATACATGACAGGACAGTGCATCTAAAGATATAAAAACATATATCCACGGCTAACCATTCATAAATTTTATGGCAATGCGAATTATGACTTCCCTTATTGGACTGGAAGAGATGAAGTATGGCACCAAAAAGAATCTCCAAGGTTCATTTCAATTACCCATCACAATAATACCACTGTACAAGGGTAGAAATTCTATCCAGGAGCGGCTCACTTGATATGTTATTTGCAGCAGATTTTCTTTTATGGCTTTTTGTACAGATACCCTCTGAACTTTTTGAATTTGGACATTTAGTCCTTATTCCTTTTTTCCTAACAATTGACCCATTTAACTTAAAAACTTTTGCAATTAAGGTCCAATCGAAAATTACATCTGCTTTTTTGATGATTCTAATCACATGAAGCACATATGAGCACATGTTGAAGGTAATAAAGGTCATTTCTCACTCTTGGAGCGTCTGCTAAGGGTAATATCCCTTAGAAACCAAGAGTTGTTTATCGCATCTGAGTGTATTCGGAAAGATTAGATGATTTTGAATTGAACAAATGAGATGAGAAATAACCTTCATTACCCTCTATAAATGCTCACGTGCGCGTCACATGATCAGAATCGTAAAAAAAAAAAGGCGTTGTATCTAATTGGGACTTAATTGCAAAGATTTGAGAGTTGAAGAGGTCAATTGCCAAGAAAAAAAGAATTAAGGACTAAATTGTCAAATTCGAAAGTTCAGGGGATATGCATACAAAAAGGTCATCTTTTATGAAAGCCTCAACGAAAAAGAAGTTAGCTGTGATTCTAAAATAACCACTTTTAAATTTGAATCGGGAAAGTCTGAAGTCTGTTGAAAGTTAACGTGCACAAATATGCAATGCCTAATTGCTAATGTTTAGGTGACATGCCAAACACGTAAGGCCCATCGCTATTATCATAATAAATAGTAATCATTATCTGCAGAATAAAAAACTATTTAAAAGAAGGCATTAAAAGAATGCTCACTCTTCCTCCACAGGCTTCCTTTGCTGTCATTTTCCGCATCTCGTACTTAGGCCTTGATTCCAGTAATGGGATGTTTCTCAATCGCACCTGTTCTTCATACAGGCCTTCATTAAAAGCATCACCAACAGCCTGCAGCGGGAAAAAGCTTGGGTACTTTTCTAATTCATTTACAAACAAAATAAGAGGTGAACAAGAGTATACCTTTGAAATAAGAAGAACAAGCATGATAAGAGGAAGGAGTTTCAAGTTATTTGTGATTTCAACCATAATGACACATAAAGACACAGTCATCCGCATTGAACCACCAAGAAAAGAAGCAGCTCCAAGAAGAGCATATCTGTAGATTCACCAGGATTTCACAGATCGGATCAGGAACAAGCAAGAGTGCAGCTGATTCGTAAGAATAAATGATATTATGAATAAATGATATCACAAATCAATGATAAGACTCACGTCCCCTCTTCAATGTTCAGCTTCTTGTAAAAGTTAACAACAAAAATTCCAACAAGACGCCCATATGTGGATCCTATCATTATTCCAGGAACAAATTGACCGGCTGGAACAGCAGTGCCAAATGTTACAACTGCTAAAGTATAAAACATAACCTGCAACATAGATAGCCAATGAAATTTACCCAAAAAAAAAATGAAAAAGGAAAAAAAAAAAGCGCTTTTTAATGTGTTAACTATGGAGCTATGCGAAGAATATATTACCAAAAAGGTCAATAGACTTTGGGCACTGAACTCGTGAAATGTTTTTGCAGTGAACAGATTCCTTATGGCATCATCCTGCCAAATAAAACAAATTCCATTGTAGCGCAAAGCATAAGGTACCCTAGAACTAGCACAATCTGTGTGACAAAAATAAATAAATAAAGATAAAAATAAAAATAAATTCGAGGAAGCATAGAGAACCTGAGTGTTGAAGAAAAGAGTCGCAAGATCATTGTACTCCTTGTCCTTACTGCAATGAAACTGAAAATAAATAAATAAATTGGGTGAGCTTCATAATAAAACTAACAAGTCTGAGAATACCAAAGGAAAGTAAAAAATGGCAAAGCCAAGACAGCTCCCAAAACTGAATTAGAAACTCCTATATCCTAGAGATTATAAGACATGATTATTTAAATCTATCGGATTTGGCTATGTGTGTTGATTCTTCTTTAAGAACCAAAATACTAAGACTCATGAGGCTTCAGGTAAAAGTTGGTCGTCTAATATAAATCATGCTACAAAGAAAAATAATCATCGTAATACAAAACCTTCTCGTTTAAATAAGAATTTCAAATATGGAAAACGGAAATTGCACACAAGACAGGAAAGCAAACAGCAACAGAAGTAACAAGAAAACAATAAAGAATTTAATGTTAGTAAAAAATTTGAGTCTTTGACAGAGAAACTATCAGCACTGCTGATCTTACATTTACATAATTCCCATACATTCCTGGAGGCTTTGGGCACTCAATTCCAGATTCATGATCCGACCCAGGGCAAGGAGTGCATTTTCTTAAAAGTGGTAAACCAAAGGAAATGAGTGACGTTATCACGGAGACAATGCATGCTTCGTAAATCTGTATCAAAAGAAAGATTAAAGGGGTTAACTAGGGGAGCTAGATATAATACTGAAGGCACATAGGCAAATGTGTGCCAACTATGGTTTTGTAAAAGGAAATTATATCAGCTACAGTGATCATCCCTACCAACTCTTTATTCCATCACAAATTGCTATGTCATAGTTTAGAAACAATATACTAAAATATGGTACCATGTGATAAAACCAAAAGTCAAATATTTAACATTGGTTCGTTATTAAATATAGCTAAAAGCTTACCTTGACTCGGTTGCCTTTCTTGTGCAAAAAGTTACGACGCCAATTAGCTATATAAAATGTAAGCTGATTAAATAACGCTCCTGAAACAAAAAAGAAAAGTTAAACCTCTCTGAAAAGAGTAACCCATATAAAGCCATCCACCCAGGAAACATAGACATACCTAATAACCCTCCAATTACACCAATAACTGCCATTGGCAATAGCTCTTTGAAAGAGTAGTCTTCTTGACCACTAAAAATAAATCTAGTTAGACAGCTATACAAGGCTCAACAAAGAGGTAAATATGTAGAACAAAACAAAGTATAGAACCTAACTCAGAAACGTCCCATATTATGAAGCCACCTGAGCCAAAATGTCCACATATTCCACTTTTACACCACCCCATTGCAGTACGTACCACAACAGCCACAACAGCAGAAGTAAAGAAGACACGCCACATCAGCTGACTCCTCCACCTTCATTAAAAAAATTGTCATTTTCAAATAACAACGCAAAGAAAGAAAGGAACATTTTAAATCCCGCCATACAGGTATATACCCCTACCCAAATTCCTGTGCACTCTATTTTATTATCAATTATAAATGAAAGGACGTAAAAAAACAAAAACAACAACAAAGATATATCCCTTCACAAATGAAGAAAGATAATTAACCTTTTTTTTTTTTTTGATAAGTGAGAGATTTAACGTTACCATGATGTAACTTCTTCCAATGCAAATAACACACCACCAACCGGAGCTCTAAAAGCAGCAGCAACTCCAGCTGCGCACCCACAAGTTACCTTCTCAAACAAAACGTTCCAGTGAGTATGATTCAAAGCGACTTATCTCTATAACTAACAGAGTTGGATATATCTAAGTTAAAACACAAGGATATGTAACAAGGAACTATCTTGATTCCATGCTGGTCGAACTTTTTGCAAAATTAACTTTGAAAGTACAAGGCACTCACAAGATCTCGCCGATCCCGATCACTTCTAAATACTTGTAGCCACCTTGAATTTAGATGATACTTTGTAGATCCGCCCTAAGTTAGGATGACAAGAAGATAAGTCGTTAGTTCGTACTTCGTGGTGCAGCTAACAGAAAAATGTTATGACATTTGATAAGCAAAGCATGCACAAGATTTCTAGCATGTCAGCAGCTCATTCAAAAGCCTCAAAAAGAGCTCACACATTATGAGTAGGAAAATGAAAAACCCTATGTTCGCATCTTTCACATTAAGTTCATTTCGAGAGTTCATGCTTACTTGTCCAAGCAAAGAAGCAATACAAGCACCCGTATGAACAAGAGGACCCTCTTTTCCAAGAGCTAGACCACCTCCAACTGAGCCAATGCTTCCAAATATCTATGTAATACCCAGCATAAAAAGGTAGAGAAAAAAGTTACTAAAACTATTCTTAGATGTCGAAATGAATAGGTATGATGGAAAAGTGAGAGAGATCACCGGACCTTTCCAATCAAGGTTCTGAAAAGAAGGATGCCATGAATATCAACTCCTAATAAATTTGCATCAAAATTAGAAACTCTCATTTTAAAATGACAATTTGATAACGACCAAAGCATTACGAACAAAGGAATGTAAAAAGTCCAGCATACCATTCAAATAACTCTTAATTTCAGGAATACCGGATCCAGCTGCTGCAGGTGCAAACTGTGTAATGATAGATACAGAAGAATAAACCAAAGCCAAGTTGATTAATATGTACACCAGACATCCCGCCACATATGATTTTTGTATTATCGAAAAGGTCAACTCGAACTTCCAGCCTGCAAAATTCTCAACGGAGAGGTTGATGAAAACAGCAGCTAGTCCAGTACCTGAAACCAATCAAAGGTAAATCAGATGCATAACTAAACACGTTATACATATAACAACAAAAATCTCCAAAAGTAGAGAGCAACAGTACACATGAATCAAAATGACAATTCAAAAAAGGTCACGTCCAAAATCTACAACTAATCCTCTCTCAATAATCTATGGAACAACAAACTTGTCTATGTCTTAATTTTTATTTTGCAAATCTAACTACTTGGGGTGAATTTGCTAGAATGAATACCAAATAATAAAATGAAATTGGCAAAGTGACCTTCTCCATCTTTACCAGTCATTCTTTGTAAAAAGTGGCCGCTCTTGGTGTTCCGTAGTCATTTGCAAATAAAAATTTTTAATGTATTATTTTACTAATAAAACTTTCCTATTTATATTTTATCCATGTTTACAAATGGCTCCTAGTTGCGCCTCTTCTGCTCAATTAGTCAGCAACAAAGTACAATCCTAGTGCCCTTAGAAATTGCAGTTCTAAAGCACATTTATCATCCCCTACTGAAGAATTTGCCACAATGACTACCCTGAAAAGTCAAATTAGGTAAAATGACCTTTTTCATTTTTACAGAGAACGGCCACAATCGTTCTTTGCAGCCATTTTGCAAATAAAATTTTTAAAAGTTATTGTACTAATAAAACTTTCTTTTTAAGTCATTTTTACAAATGGCATCTAAGTTCCAATTAGTATTCATACCAAACTGATTAATCCAAAGGTCAGCTCAATCCTATAGGAGTGACATGGGAAGCTACAGAAAAACATCGATTTTTCTAAACTTTCCATACCCTCTAAAATCCTTATGAAAAGGGGGCGAAACATAGGATTTTTTCTTTTTGTTTTTTTGGTTGAGGCTTACCGATGCCAATAAGCAGTGCAAATAACCACTTCACCATCACACAATATCCCACATAAAGCTTCCCCCTTTGCGCCTAATGGATCAAAAGACACAACAAAAGTTAAGAGCCGAAAGAACCCTAAAAAAATACCCAAAAAATAGTATTCAAACCCAAGCACAATTGAACTGAACTCGGAATGGAACTAAGAAACCTCAGAAACGCGACCTGCTCTTCCCAGTAAGCGTGATTCTCGATGACTTCATAGTCAAGGCTCTCGACGCTGCTCTCGTCACTCTTCTTCGCGATTCCAAGCGCGTCGGGTTCTCCATCCTCGGCGTTCGGAAGCCTCGACCAGACCATCTTCGCCGTCTCGATCCCATTATGGAGGTGATTCGAGAGCATCGTCGCTCAATTCGTATCGAAAGCTTCGAAACCCTAGAAAACGATCGCCGGAACTCGGGAATCGACGAGGCTCGCGATTTCTCCGCTCGGAATCGCACTCGACGGCGTGCTGAGTACGGAATCGGTGGTTCCGCACAGCATCTGAGGCCGAGAAAATTCGATCTTGGCGAGGAGCGAAACCTCGGATTACGCGATGAAGAGATTCTAGAAAAAGGCTTGGTTTTTGCTTCTTCTTCTTCTTCGTATTTTGGCTGTGAAATGACTGAAGAAATAACTGGAAGCTGGAAAAGAAAGTAAAGAAAAAATTGTTTCTTTCTTTTTGCTTACTGGTAGAGGAATTTCAGTCGTAATGTCTGGTACGGGCATCCTCACTAGATCTCCTGTGGAACTTCTTGATAGACGGTTGGATTTCCTTAGAGAACGGGCCCACTGTTGGGTGGAAGTGGGCCCGACTGGCCTTTTGCGGGCTGGGGCTGCACTATCACGACAAAACGTCCCAGCGCTGACCCTTATACCCAAAGGAAGGGCTGAAACTTAAATCAAACGCCACGAAAGGAAAGGGCAGTTGAGCCAAAAAAAAAAAAAAAAACAAGAAGAAGAGAGAGAGGGAGGATTATAATATTTATAAAATAAGGTGATGTTTGATTTATAAATTTAAAATTTTAATTTATTATTTTAATTTTTAAAATTTAAATTTTTTATAAAAAAAAAAATATTATATCGAATTAAAAATTATAATTTTAAATTAGATTAAAATTCTCGAAACAGACGTATATTGTTAGGACTAAATTCTAACCGGTCAAATTTCATTAGATATTGATTCGCTTATACTATTCTTGTAGTTTATATAATTAATTATGTTATAAACAGTTATGTTTTTGTCGAATTTTGTTAATTTTTTGCATGTCATACTCTTTTCTTAATCTAATAAAGTGGTCTTTTTCATATCCTATTGTCATCGAGTGATTAAAATATTCCCACAGAGAGAGAATAACTGAGTGAGTGGTTGAATTAGGGAAACGTAGACCTATAATTGGGTTGATTGGATGGGTCCATATGTGGGCACATATTGTTGGGCAATGTCACTTGCTCCCCCCATTGTGTTGCTTCCTGTGTGGAAGTCAATTTGGAATTATCGACTTGTTTATTTCACTAATTTAAGTCTTCAATTTTACATTTTTATTGTTAAAAATTCTTAAAAAATGTTACATCTCAGCTCGAATTAAAAACTCAAATCTACAAAGCGAACAAGAAAGGCTGTAGGTTACTGTTCACACAAACTCATAATACAAAATTATTATCCGTTGTAACGCATGAATATACAGTTAGTTGGGACCTAAAATAACAGAATTTTGACCACAAGAGTCTAATGTCATGACCAAATATATGTCCCGTTTATTTCATCAATTCGAGTTTTGCTACAGTAAAAAACTTTTATAAACAGTCATATTTAACTTTTTACTACAATAAAAAGTTCTTACATAAAGTCGCATCTCAATTCGAATCAGCGAACTAAACGGCCCACGTTCAAGAAGAGAGAGAGAGAGAGAGATTGTGATGTTTAGTAGTTATATATTGTGAGTGTGAGTTGGGAATCCTTGTAGCATAGAAGTGGTATAATTGTGCTATAATGAAACGGTGAGTCATGAAACAATAACGAAGGGAATAATAGTGCTATAATGAAAGACAATTCATTCAAGTTCTACACAGTGAGTGAGAGAGAGAGAGAGAGAGAGCTCATTTACGGAAAAATAGTGCCGCAAAAATGAGCCAGTCTGATAAATGAGTGCATTTTTCCATTTTTAGAAACAAACATCTGAATCCTCTGATTTGAGGAATAGAGTTGCTAAGCAAATAAAATCATAATTTTATTTTGGAAACAAAAGATTATGATGATAATAATAATAATAACATTATAGTAACAATTAAGACGGGAGATGACTTCCCCATAACTTATAATTATTTGTCATCTACAAAGATGCCATCAAATGAAGGAGCCACAGCTTTAAAACACTCCCATTTGGAACTAATCTTCCACGGTTTTAGCTACTTCGCTTTGACCTCCCCACATTTTCTTTCCTTTTCTTTTGCCTTTCCTGCTAAGCCTCCCTATAGTTGCTTCTCATTAATTACGTACACTTCGTCACAACATTTTATGAGGCGACAGATCAGAAGTAGAGAGCTCCGCATACATGTTTGAAATCGCCTTCGCTTGAGGCCTCTTGATCCAAACAAGTAGGAAAATGTCGTTAGATCATCGGGTTGACGGTTCGTGAAAGTCTGCTATCAATACGTGCAGTGGCAGAATCAGGATAAAATTTCGGTGGGAGCATAAAGCATATTTTACAACAAATAAATAGAACAACAGTAAATATAAAAAATATTACCATAGTATTTCTCAATAATTATAAAATATATTATAATTACTCTCGTCGAGTTTTCATATTTTAAAAGCGTTACATAATAACTTCATTATTAATATGATCAACATAATAGAGTCAAAAAAATAAATCAAAAGAATATAAAAACTAACCCACGCACAAATTCAAGTTCTACTTAATCAAATAATGTGTGCCAAATACCAATAATTAAAATCTTTAATTAATCATAGGAAATATAAACTAAATTAATTTATTATAAAAAAATAAAATTCTAGGTTATAATTTATAAAGTAGACAAATCATTACCACAAGCATGAATCTACAAAGCTTATACTGTAAACGAAGTAAATGACAAAAGACACATTATCTATAAAGCTTTTATAAGCTACAGACAAAGCTTCAAATGTCCATAGATCTTTAAAAAAAATAAAAAACAAAAGAAAGAAAACTCTTGAACTTTTCGGTAAAGAAAGTAGGCACAAAGCACAAAATAAATAAATAAAGAAAAGACAAACTTAAATAGTAATGGGCGTGGTGGGCCAATAACAGTTCTTCAGTCCTCAAGCAAACATTGATTATTGAGAGAAGACCATCAAAAGAGTAGAGTGGAGAGAGAAAAGATAAATAAAGGGTTTTAAATTCAATTTATGTGGGGGTAAAATTAAAAAAAATACAAATAAAAGTAATATTTTTTAAAAATTATATTAAAAAAAATGTATACATAACTTCCGCGGGGCACGTGCCCCCACTTGCCTCCGCCGCTGAGTACGTGGAGACTGAACACTTACCTTGAATGTTGGAGTGAGCAGACTATTCTCCACTGTAAATGATTCAGGTACAAAACTCACGACTTTTTGCAAATTCAAAACCTCTCAACTGCATCAAAAACAATTGAATTTAGAGACTGAAAATCTTATTCAGAAAATAATCAAAACCGGCATAAACGAGTCTAGTCGAACAACACATGTGCTTCTATTCCGATAGAATCCATATCAGCCAAAACAGCTGCGCTTGCTCTTAGATCATTATATAGTTTGTGTAAATCTTAAGATCCGTTTAGGTCGTTGATTCGAATTAAGATGTGACTTTATATTATAGTCTTTTACTGTAGTAAAAAAGTTAAATGTGACTGTTTTTTAAAATTTTTTACTATAACAAAACTCAAATTTTAAATTCGAATCGGTAAAATAAACGGAGCTTTAATACTGAACTCACACATTGCCCAAGAATAAAAAATAAAAGACTTAAAAGAATTTTTTTTATTTTTGCAGTTCATGACCATGCAACACGTAATGCATACGTGCATGAATTCATACACACATACTTAGCATGCATGATTAGGCCTCGTTCACTTCGTGAATTCGAGTTTTCAATTCGAGCTGAGATATGACATTTTCAGAGAGCTTTTCACTGTAGCAGAATAAGTTAAATGTGACATTTTCTGAGAGTTTTTTACTATAGAAACTTAAAATTAAAAACTCAAATCGGTGAAATGAACGATGTTGATACATATATATTAATGAGACCGACAAAATATCTACACACTGTACCTTAATTCCTTCATAAGTAGCCCACGATTTCAATATATCTCAGACAATTGCTACCAGAGATGAATTAAAGCTGTTACCTGCCAATAGGGGAAAAAAAAAGTCAGCAATCAACAGAGAAAGCGAGAGAAAAAGGCAAAGAGAGACATGTATAATTCCTTTTGCTTACCATACACAAAGCATTGGCCAACGAATTTGCACTTTGCATAAACGTTCTCAAATTTTTTTTTTCTGGAGCTAAATCCATTACAAAGCCATGTCAACTTTTTAGTACCACCATTATCTTGGTCCAAAGTAATCAAATGATCAAACATCTCCTACAAAAGATTACAGCCAATGAGAAAATGTACCCAAAAAAAAAGAGTAAAGAAATAGACGTATATTTAGCTCACAGGAAGCCATAACTTCTTGAGGGATTACTTTATATCTTATCGTGATCAGATAGTATAGCCACCATCCACCGGCAACCACAGACTACAAGAAAAATGGTCTTTAATGATGACATTTGTTACCGTTAAAAGTAAAAAATTGGCTATTAATAATGGATTTATCGTCAAAAGTAAAAAATTATTGTCGCCAAATTATTAAACTCGAAACTAAAAAGGCGTTATTATACAATAAAGTTTTTTGTCATACTGGGAATTTTGACTAAATTATTACGTTGCTAAAAATTTTATCACTAAAAACTCTTTTGTTGTAGTGACAACAACGATTGGCAGCCCGAAGCCGCCGGTAGTGAATCCAATTGTATTAATCTTCCCCTTATTGAACTTGTAATTGATGAGAATCGTGTTCAGAATGGTGTCTTAAAAACATGAGATGTAATAAGATATTTATTATTTATTTAGTAAAAGAGTTTATTTATCATTTTATGTGCATATATTTATGAATATTTTATAAATATCAAATAAAAAGTCCATAATTATTTATGTGACCTTAAACATTGTACATAAGTGTTATATGCGATATGATAATGTTAAAGATAATAATAAAAAAAGATGTTCGTAATGAATTTAATTAAAATTCAGAATTTTTAATTAAAACATTACTAATACATACCATTCCTATTTAGAATGGAACAGTGTTATTTACACTGTTAATATGGTGAGATATTGAATGAGTGTATTACGCATAATGAGATTATGTGGAACAGGAACACAGACACAAAATGAATTTCTGATAATTTTCGTTAAGTATAGAAATTATAATTGAGTCTACCGATGATCATATATAGAATTATCATCTTAATCATGAGTTCTTAGCATACTCCTATTTATGGATTTATATCTTTTGATTTACTTGGTACGGATTTCGAGACCCTGAATCCTATTCCTTGTATTT